TATAATAAAAATAATAATAATAATAATAATAATAATAATAATAATAATAATAATAATAATAATAATAATTAATTACTGGAGTCGTTAATAATAATAATAATTAATTACTGGAGTCGGATCAAAGCTGACTTGCTTACCAGTATTTCTACATCAAAATCAGTAACCCACACCACACTTTTTATTTTATTTTTTGGACTTTGTAATCTCATTTCCAACTACCAACTACTTCCTATGTTTTACAGCTATTTTCCATTCTCTTAACCCTTGTCATTAATCCCTTCCGAAATTTAAGGTGCCTATGTATTCAATTTCCCCACACTTACATATATATATACATAAATATAATATATTGAACTCCACAATTTTTTTTTAATTTTTTTTTCGGTACAATGAAGGAGGCCGAAGGCCCGATAGTTAAGCTATAATTTGACGCGGATAAGAGACCCCTATAAAATCGTGATCGAGCCAGGCTCCCATGCCAATTTGAGGGGATGCGAAGAATTGAAATACTAGTTATGCTCAAAATCATTAAGATAACATTTCCATGTACACGATTTTCATCCATACTATTAATGAAGTAGATTATGGAGTATAATTGAAGGTTTGTTGTAGATTCATATGCCAACGATGAGTTAAACTTGAGCTTGTAACTAGTAATTATAACAACGTGAAAATGAAAGCACATGTTAGTAGTACAAAGCCAAGTCGTAAGTAATAGATCCAAGTAATTAAGTTTAATTATAGAGACAAAAGAGATCCTCATTTCTCTCATTATCCTTCAAATAATAGTAGTGAAATCTGCCTAACAGTAGCCATGCATACTGTAATCCATGAGATTGACCAGATGTTATTGTATTTATAATAATAATCGAGCTCGAATTTCGTGTATATAAAACATACCGTTTTATTTTATTCATAATTTAGTTAGTAGTATTAAACAAACTTGAAATGAAGGGACTAGGCTTGATGAACATGAATATGGAAAACTCGTGTAGAAACTCGAGACATTGCATTTGTATACACAGTTGCATTTCACGAGACATTGCATTTGTATAACAGTTGCATTAAATATAGAGACTTCCTTTGACATGTATCATGGTTGTAGGAATTTTCTTTCTAATAGAATTGTTTTTTCCGTCGATAATTCCAATTAATAGACGAGTTCGAACTTATTTTTTTTCTCTAATTACTCACTTAAGTAGACCTATGTATTTCATTTTTGCAAGTAATTGATCAAAGAAAATGAACAATTTAATTAATTTCTTTCAAATTGCATAGGGTAGTTACTACTTAAGGACATTGGGCCTCATTTTGTCAATGGAGTATAGAGAAAAGTGAGGTCTGTGCACAGCAACTCACATGCTCCATACTACACACAACTCTCATGAGCTGTTCCTATTTAATGTGTTGCCATTCATTTTCTCTGTTTACTCGTTTTCTTTTCGTAGGGGAGTGGCCTAATGTAGGCATGCCCAATTGATAGTTCTTGGTTGAGGAGTTGACTTTGGTTGAAATTAATATTTGGAATAGACCAGGTTGACCTTATTACACATATCCAGTGAAGGTGATATAATATATATCCTTATATAAATTTGAAGCTGGTTGGGAGGAGGACTGGGAAACTTGTCTGGTATGTTGACTTATAAGAGTTCAGTTTCGGTTAATCTTAGCCACACAATTGGTTTAGTTGAAAACAATAAAATTGTTGTTAGCCATATTTCATTTTTAGTCCATTATATTGGTATTTTTCCAGAAAAAATCCACTGTTTCGACAGATATCAAACTTAGTACTATAATTTAAAAAATTCATCAAATAAGGTATACTAATCATTAGTTGCATGATAAAATTCGTTGTTTTCTTTTAAGCCTATTTGAACGCCGTCAATATCCGTTTCAAATGGGTAACTTGTCATTGGATTCTTCTCGTCGAGAAGGTCGCATTCATAAACTTTTAGCTCAATCACATTTTGTTTGCCTACTCAATTATTCTTTCGAAAGAATTTGGATTATTTTCTATCCGGTTTATATTCGGCACCATCTGAGATCCAATTTTGATGGGTAACCCACCATCGGATTATTCGTTTTTAACAACCAAATTTGATATCAATTGTACCTCATTTGTCTGCTCAATTTGTCATCCAAGATAATTTTAGCCCAAATTCGTTCTCTATCTAGGAGTCATTTCGGTTCTTTGTAGAATAAGTTTTCATGGAGTAAGTTTGGAATGAAGTGGTGGCATTGCATCTACATCATTCATGGTGCCTTAAATTGTAGTATATATATATATATATTTTTTTTAAAAAAAAAAAAAGAATGGCTTTTGGCATTGTTTTTATCATTAATGAAAAATCTAATTTTTCGAAAAGAGTCCATATGAAATCCACAAATATAGGGGAAATGGAGTAATTGCAGTGTCAATGGAAATGCATTTTATTAAGGTTTGAAATGGTGACTGACACTTTTCAAATTTATCTTATTAATGTAGTACAGTACAACTAACAATTGCGGGCTAGCTAAAGATAAAACTTCCCACTTTCAGCTTTAATACGAGTTCATAAAAATATCAAAACAAGAAAGAATTCAGGCATGAACATAAAATCGAGTACAAACAGAAAACCACGTAAATGAACATATACTATAATCCTTCATACTTAAAATGCGAATAGGCACTCATTCAAAAGAAATCAATTCCTTACTATTCATACACAAGCATTAATTATGATAAATGATTTTAATTCTCCAACTAATCTTTGAATCAGAAGGTGGTGGATGCAAATACCCAAAAGACTGGTGGCATATTTATAAGTAAACAGTAAATTGGGTTCACCTAGAATATTTATTACGAAATTCAGTAAATTGGGCTCACTTAATAATTATCTAAGTCAAAAGTATATATTGCCACGCTTAAGTACTCCTCTTCACCATTCACAAATCCAGGCGCAGAAATGAAAAGCTTAATCAACCATCCTTTTCATGTTTGGTATAATATTGCTAAATGCTTCGGGTCGGGGGCTCAATTGGGCACCCGGCCCATACATGTCACTGCATATAGAATAAACTCTATTTCTGGACCGATATATAAATAGAATAATTGCGTTCATTCCACGAAAATAACAATTTAGTGAATTGCATTGAATTTATTAAATTGAAATAATATAAGAGATTTGGGTTTCATGTTTACTTTCTATCCTAAATGAGTGGTTAAAATTAATAATTAAAAAAGATAATAAGTGCTTTTACCCTATATATGCTTTGGTGTTATTATTCCTTTTGCATTTAGTTGGACTTATACACATGTTTTTTTAACCTAGCTCGAGTATCGATTTGGGCAAGCTTCCGGGTCATCGGGTTAATTGTTGAATCGGATAGGTAATTTTAAATTTTAAAATTATATATATAATATTTTTATCATATAAATATAAATAAAAATAATAAAAATAAATGTTTTGTATATATATTTTGTACAGTAAAACGTTAATAATATTATATCTTATAATAAATATTACCATATAAATATGTATACATAGTTTTAATTTTTAAAATAAAAAATATTTTAAAAAACAGAAGAAAAAATGACCGGGTCAAACAAGATTGACCCGACTTGGTCGATGTCTGGATCAACTGGGTCAAGGCTGGGTTGGGTCAAGGCCGGGTATAAAAAATTGGGATATTTTATTTTCTTTCATTATCTATCTAATTTGTTATATGACGTATCATATTCCAATCAAAATTATTAATTTTCAATAAAATTTGTTCTCATATTGATAAATTTTAAAAGTTAATATGTACTACTATTAACTAATAATTTAATATCAATAAGATTACTTTTAAAACATCTCCAAAATTACAAGACTACTTTTCAAATTTTTTACAAAGAAATTGTTTCTCCTCAAGGGTACTTTCGGAAATTAATTACTATATTTCACGGATCACTTACTTCTATAGTCCTTTGTTTTTTCTTTATATTGTAGCTTCAAGTTTACTAGAATGTTCTCAAATTTTGAGCCTGAGACGGTGCCTTGAGATCAATTGGGTTGGCACCGTACAGAGAATGGGAGTTATTATATGTGTGGCTTAGGAAAAACCTGCAATAAATGAAAGTGATTTTCACACCTTCTCTTTGAATAAATTTTAACCTCATTAATTATGGTTTGGTGTTACCATTTCGTAGTGAGTGGTGACTGTCGGGTCTTTAGCTTACTTTCAATGAGGAAAAACAAAATAAGAATTTCGTTTTTCTTGAAGATTATAGGATATATACACGGGCAACTAATGTATAAAATTAGGACCGGTGATAGACCGGATTGACTTTCGTGTTATTGGATTAATTGATGAAAATCAATTAACTTAAATATATATTTAAATTATTTAACATATAACTATCGGGAAATAGCAAAACATATAATTTTTATATAAATTTATATTATTGTATCATGTGATGAACATTACGGCATAAACATGCAAACATAATTTTATTATTATTTTTCTTTTAAATAATAGCCGGGTCAAACAATTGACCCATTTGGGATGTGGATCAACCCGGGGCTGTTCGGGTCAAAAAAAGCATTGATTAGAGGAGAAAAACAAATTCCAGGAAAGCAACAATCAGAGTTTAAATTCGTGTCATTATATAACATTCATGGAGATAGCACCACACTAGAAGTGTTACATACATTACTTCACATAAAAAATAAAATAAGGTATTCGTGTTATATGATTTTATAAAAAAATTATGTTAAACAAAAAGGATTACTTTTTTTTTTTGGTACAGAGATGGCGGGCAGAAGCCCGAAAGCTACGAAAATAAAACTCGTCGTGGGATTGTCACCCCACGAATATCATGATTCATCCATTCACCCAAATTTGGAGGCGGTGACGAGACCCTATGAAAACCCAACTGAGAAGACATCGCTAATTCTGCCAAGTGATCAGCCGCAAAGTTGGCTTTCCTGTGTACATGTTGAACCCGAACGCTCCAGTCACACGGAACTTCCGCGTTAAATAATCAAAAATCATGGCACTATATTATGGTTTCCACTATTAACAGATCCATTCTTTTCAAATAACATCACACTCTAACGGTACAATTAGATATACATTATCCAAAAAATATATGTATCTCAATAGAAAAACTGTATAAAAAATATAAATATAAGTAAATTTAAATTTCTGAATGAATATAAATAAAATGTAATGATGAAAATTAAATTACTATAAAAAAAGTAATAAAATAATAAATATAAGTGTTAACATATTTGTAATGTTATATATATAGTACTTTACTGAAGAACCCCAAATTTCTGATCGAGATATTTTTTCATGTCATCCCTTTCAAAAATGCACATGCAGAGCACAATTGAAGTGTTCATGCAACGAGAAAACGACGTCGTCTAGTTCTAAGTTCAACGCGACGTTGTTCGTACTTAAACCAAAAATAAAATGCAAACAACTTTTTAATAAAAGTGCTACACGACTAAATACAAAAGGTTCGACTTCTTCCTATTATGAGAAAAATAGTTGTAGCGGTCTTCTCCTCAATTCACTGCAAACATCCATGGAAGTTGCTGCCTTTCTACACCGCCCCTCGTCAAGTTGGAGTTTGGTCGAGCTCGTACACACCCAAACTTGCACAATAACCAGCGAAAAACAGCAGCATAGAGTAATTTGGGGAAGAAGTCCGCTAGTTGTGCCGAAAAATGAACATAGGTAGGAAAGATGAATCATGCCTTGTACTTGTCACGAACAATGTGACAATCAATTTCAAGATGCTTTGTGCTCTTGTAGAACGGATTGGCCACAGTTGCATACCCGCATGGTTATCACACCAAAGGGTGATTGGTAGAGAAGGCTCCAACTGAAACTCCTTTGCCAAGGAGTAAATCCTCTGTATCTCACATCAGATGTGCCCATGGACCTATATTCAGTTTCAGCGGACGATCGAGCCATTATAACATGTTTTTACTTTTCCAAGATATAAGGATGTCTCCAACAAAGACACAATATCCAGTGATCGACCTGCGAGTGTCCATAAAAGTTGCCCAATCAGCATCACAAAAGACACTAAGAGTAGGCTATGATTGAGAACTTAAAAATAAACCAAGGGTAATGGTTCCCTTGAGATACTTAAGCACTAAGGTTGCTGCATCCCAATGCTCAATGAAGGGGCTATTGACAAATTGACTTAGTTGTTGAACTGCATAACTCGCATCCGACCTAGTCATACTGAGGTAAAGGAGTCTGCAAATCAACCTCCTATACTTTTCTGGTTCTCACAAAGGTTGTCCATCATAACATGTCAATATTAACCCCTGTTGAAATGAGGTAGCTGTCTCCTTGCAATCCTCTAGCCCCAATCCTTCAATAAATCTAAGATATATTTGCTCTAAAAGAGATAAGTACAGATCTCAACACCTAGGAAATATTTTGCAACTCCAAGATCCTTAATAGGGAATAAATCATGTAGGTATGCCTTTAATGCCGTGATCTGCTCGAAATCACATCACATGATCAAGACATCATCCAAACAAACAAACAATGGTCATGTGGTGATTGTGACAAACCAAACTCCAACAACCTCTTTAATAGCTCAAAATTTCACTCTCTAGATACTTGCTTTAGACCATATAGGCTTTTAATGATCTTACATACCTGACCATCTCTCACTTTGCTATTTCCTAGAGGAAGTTTCATATGTACTTCCTCAGATAAAGTCCCATGTAGAAAGACATTGTTCACATCAAGCTGTCATATACTCCATCCTTGAATGGCTGCCAAATCAAAAACATTCTCCCTATCACCAGCTTTGCAACCGGTGGGAAAACATCAAAGTAGTCTACTCCTGTCACTTGAGTGAAACTCTTTGCCGCCAACCTTGCCTTATACCATTCTACTGTACCATATGCTTTCCTCTTGATTTTGTATACCCACTTTGACCATATGGCCTTCTTACCTTGTGGCAGATAAGATAACTCCCAAGTGTGATTATGATCTAGAGCCTTAAGCTCAAGATCAATAGTTGCAACACACAACTTATCCTGCTTAGCCTGATCAAAATGTGTAGGTTTTTGTCCTATGGTTATGTTAGCCAAAAAGGCCACATCATCTCCATCAAGCTGTAGATCATCAATTCCCTCATTGCCGCATACATAGTTCTTCATCCAAGTGGGTTGTATCCTTATCCTCTTCCCACCATACAATAATGTAAGTTGATCTTGACTAGTATATTTCTCAACTGCATCTTCAACACTATTGTGATCTTGTGTGTCCCTTATCATTGGTAAAAGTGTGCTACCATAACTGTCATCCTGTCTTCCTTACAAGAAAATACCTCAATAATAAAAACAACATCTCTTGATATAAATCTCATGTTATCATCAACATAAAGCAGTATGTAGCCTTTACACCCTCAAGAATATCTAAGGAAGGTACATTTGTTAGACCTTGGATCCAATTTCCCTTTGGTGGGGCTTGTGTTGACTGCATATATATACCAACCACTCAAATGGTTTCAGTCTAGTATTGTCTTGTGGCTCATCATAGATCCTCTGAAAGGGAGTTTTCCATTCAATGTGACACTAGGTAGCCTGTTGATGATATGTGCTGCAGTAAGGACTGCATAGAGCCAACATTTTATGTTCATTCCTGATTGAAACATTAGTCCTCTTGCAATTTCAAGAATTTGTTTATGTTTCCGTTCTACAACACCCGACCCGGACACGGACCGAGTCCGTGCTTTTTTTTTTTTGCGGCGTGTACACATATTTCCTTTGATGTATTCCTCAAACATCTTTTTGCATTCATGGCTCATAAATTCTTGTCCATTATCACTTCTAACCTGTTTTACTTTCTTACCAAGCAGGGTTTGGGTCATGACGATGGAATTCTTGAGTAGATTTGTTCTCTCCTTTAGATCCCATGTGAAAAATCCAAACACCTCGGCTAAAATCATCCACAATTGTTATGAAGTATGGATTGTTGAGCACCAAGTACTCTCTGCAGGGTTCTCAAATGTCCATATGCAATAAGGCAAAACATACAGTTGTTTTGATGCTGCTATTTGAAAATGGCAGTCTATGTTGTTTGGCCTTATAGGGAAATACAAATATATTCATACGTTCATACTTAAATGTCATAATTTATAGGGCAATACAAATAAAAGTAGGGTTAATTGCAGATAAAACACTAACCTTTTGTTAAATTGCAGATAAAACTCAACTTTTTAAGTTTGACAAAAAAAATACAAACCTTTCCTAAGTATTGCATATTTTTCTCCAAATGGTTTTCCGGCCAACAAAAGCTGACATGGCGAGCCGGAAAAATGACGTGGCACCGGACTTGATTGCATGGCACTTTTATTATAAAAATCAGCTCCACGTCATCAGCCACATCATTGACATGTCACCTAATTGGACACATCAACGCCACGTCAATAGCCTGTTTCAATAGATTTTATCCGCCCCATTTTTTTCATCCCAACCCTAATCAATCGAATTCATCCCCTTTTCTTCTCCCGCAGAGAAGAGAAAAAAAAAAATTCTCTCCCTTTGTTCAACCCCCGTTTTTCATCCTTTGATTTCTTCTCCAGCCAGCACTAAAATTGATTTCGCCGTAGCCAAGCCCCATTGCAGTGGTGCAACAGAACCCGTTCGAGTGCCCCATCTATTTATCGCAGTGGTGCAACAGACCCCGTTTCGCAGCCAAGCCCGATCGCCATTCGAGTTGTGCCAAGCCCGTTCGAGTGGTACAACAGAACCATAAATGGAGAACGGGTATTTTTGCTTCATCTTCTTCTCATTTTTTTGCTTCATTTTGCGAACAAAGTGGAGGCTGGGGCTGCCTATATTCACAAATCGAACCTTGAGTAAAGGAGCAGGTGAGGTCGAATTTTCTTGTCGAAGAGGACGAATTTAATGATTTCCACAAATCGTTATCGAGAGGTCAAATTTTTGGAAATCTACCTTTTTTCTTCTTCTTCTTCTTCTCCTTCTCTCTATTTTGGCCGGATACATCGAATCTCCTTGTGAAGTTGCCGGAGGTCGAAGCTACAAACGGGATTTTTTTTTTCAGGAACTTTTTTTTTCTTCAGAATTATGGAAGGGAGGAAAGAATGGAGGAAAATGTGAAATGTGAAAGAATGGAGGTAAAGAATTTGATATGGGAAATGTGAAAAATTGTGTTTTGAGAAAATAAAAAAATTATAAAATGAAAAATTGAATTGAGGGTAAATTAGCATACGTGGAGACACATAATCAAGTCCGGTGCCACGTCATTTTTCCGGTTCGCTATGTTAGCTTTTGTTGGTCGCAAAACCATTTGGAGACAAATATGCAATACTTAGGAAAGGTTTGTATTTTTTTTGCCAAACTTAAAAAGTGGAGTTTTATCTGCAATTTAATAAAACGTTAGGGTTTTATCTGCAATTAACCCATAAAAGTATGACTTTTTATAGTATAATAATGCATTTTCGTAGGAATATATATATGTCTAACAAATAGGCAGCCAACCAATTATAGCATTTATGTTAATATTGAGTCAATTATCAATGAGTTAAGAGTGTATAGAATGTTGAGCATTTAAACTACCAAAATTAAGAAGTTATGTCTTTTGTAGTTCAACTTATTAATTATTTTAATCATTTTAAAAAGCAATTTTACGCCGTATGTGTGTGTGTGTGTGAGAGAGAGAGAGAGAGATTAAAAATTATAAAGTCCCCTCGAAATGTTATTTGTGTCGAGTCAAGTTGAATAACTCATGTTTAAATGATAGTTTAATAAATGAGTAAGATCAGCTCGACTATTAACAAATAAACAAAAAAATGAGCTCCAACTCCGTTTGTCTAAGTGTCACTCTACTCGATTTGTTGAATAAGAAAGTTTGGATAGTCGTTCTAACTTTGCTCATTTAAATATATAATGATATAAGATCAAACTTTCATAAGTTGAACAAACACAATCCGGTTCCAATTACTGCTTTAGCCCCTTCTAATTTTTTTTTCCTAGATCTGCTAGCTCTTGTCTAACAGTATGTGCTGATTTTCAATATGGGTTGATGTTACCCCCATCTAGAGATGTTAAATGGTCCTTGGCCCGACGGGCCGGCCCGTTTAGGCCAGAAAAAAAAAAACAGGGTTAGGGCTTTTTACTGGCAACCCGTTTAAATTCGGGATTTTTAGGCCCAGACCGTTTAGCCCGAAGCCCGCTAAGGCTGGCCCGTTTAGCTTGGGTTGAGTGGTGTATATATTTTTAGAAAGGTAAAGAATACGTCTCATGATTCCTTGTATATTACAATTTTGTTCTTCTATCTCACATGTAATTATGAGTTATAATGTATTATTATTATTTTGATAGATAATTATTAACAAATTTTATTCTATTTCACAGCAAAATATTTAAGCCAATCAGAACGGCTAATAAAAACAAATGAGACAAAGACACATAGAATACATAGAATATAAATTCAGCAGTATGCTATATTGTGAAAATACCCGAAACTTACCAAATAACTAGTCAAATGGTAGTTATAAGTAATAGTCGAACATTTTTTTTTCAATTGAGAAACAATATGTTGTTTAAGAGTTTGTAATGTGTGTTCATATATGAAGTGTAGTTGTATATATAGTGGTAAATACTAAATAGCCGTTGAAAAAAACCGTTAACTAGTTGTAATTTATTATTATTATTATTATTATTATTATTATTATTATTATTATTATTATTATTATTATTATAGCCCGTATAGCCCGAAGTCCGCTAGGTTTAGGGTTAGGTCCTTTTATTGGTAGCCCATTTGAATCCGAGTTTTTTAGACTCAGACCGTTTAACTCGAAGCCCACTGGAACTAGCCCGAAACTGCTAGGGCTAGCCCGTTTAACATCTCTGGCCCCATCCCATGCCCTCAAGGACATTCATGCATCCACTACATAAAGGCTGCAAAACTTGATGCTACTCCTTGTCCATGTACCATTGCTAGTAAAGTAAAGCACCAAAACCATCATTTTCCATTTCCCTATTATTTTTATGCAAAGTTCTGATTTTCTACTTGTCCAAACAAATGATTATATAGTAACCCATACTTCAACACATATAAAACATATAATACATGCGCAAGAAATTAATTGGCATGCACATAAATATATTGCATGGGGGGTTGTCTAAACTTTTCGTTGCAAGCTAAGACTACTCTGTGTTGGCTTGTAAATATTTCTTCTGCAGCAGGTCCAACCACCACCAACCTCTCATTTCCTTTCCCCCTCACAAACACTACTAGATTTTAATGTAACCCATTATTAATTATCACCTCACCTGTTTACGTGTCTCAAAAATAAATCTCCCCCCAAACTTTTTAATTTTCCCATTTTCTTCCTCCCTCTCACTATACCCGATCTATTCTTGAAAGAGAAAAAATTTATCAGCTATCAATGAAGAATTGAACCCTCACAATACTCATATGGGCCCTTTCTTACGTACACTCTCCCTTTAATCACTACTCAAATCTCGCCAACTCTCTTTATTATCATCATCGTCCCTCTTTCACAAAAATCCTTTCTTTTCCTGCCATTTGTGCATCATTCAAAGGTAAGAGAGAGAGAGAGAGAATGGGAGTGGTAGTACACAAAACCAAACTAATACTAACAATGGTTGGAAATTTCTTGAACGAAATCTCGAGCTTCATCGTCTTCACTCTCCTCGACTTCCTCGATCTCATACTCTGTCACGTGTACAAAGTGGCCGATTTCTTAGCCGAGGCCGAGTGGAAGCCCTGCTACTGCTCGTCGCCTCGGGAGGCTATCTCGGGAGGCGGCGCCAAAATCCTCGTCTCCGAGCGCGGCGAGTCGAGAATCGTTCGTCTCACGAGCACAAAACTCGAGCTCGAGCAAATCTCCGACACACTCTACGCCCGTCCCTCTCTCGTCTCGGAACTTTCCCGGTCGTCCTCCGGGATGGCCGGCCGTGGGGCCCGCCCTTCGCCGGCGGCCGGACTCTCGGTCAATTCCACCGTCGTCGAGATGCTCCGGGAGAGAATCGGCCGGCAACAGAAGGTTCCGGTTCCTAGGTGGTCCGATTGCGATTGCGCCACGTGTACCGCGTGGACCACACGCTCGTCTCTCAAGGAGACGCTCTTCGTCAAGGCCTGTGGAGCCAAAGGTAA